GATAACACACAGTAAAAATTAATTAGAAGATGGAAAAAGAAAATTATCTAATCATTCGTGATCACGTCAATATCGATAGGAATTCTATCAAGAATTCCCTATGCTCGTAGCTTTTTTGATGCTATGTATTGACAATTTTCATGGAAATGTACAAAATTTTCACTTGGCAATTTACATTGGATATAGGGCAAAAAATAATAATAATAATAAATAAATAAATAAATAAAATCATAAAATTTCTGATATTTTAGTACCTGTAAAATTTTCAGTGTATTATTCAATGATAAAATCCTTCTTAAGGGCGTTCATGGATATGGCTCTTGACATGTGGATGATTGTCTCAAATTCTGTGGGACCCTTTCTCGAATTTGTTCTTTTTGATGGCCAATAATTGGCAAAAACAAACTTTTGAATATTGAATTTTTGGATGATGTGTAGTTAGGATATAGGTAAAAATTATGAATTTAAGTACAAAATATTTTATTGTATGAATGTATAATTGAAAGAGAGTATGTAGAATAAAAAGTTTTTGAAATAATGATTGGTTTGTGAATTATTTACGTTTGCCTCATTCCAACAAATTGAAACTTGTTCGACTTGTTTGGGCTAAAAACTTCAAAAAAAATGTTGTAATGACTAACTAAAACTTTGTACAAGAAATTAGCAATACTTTTAAGAATCAATTTGGGTTTTGGATGAGAAAAGAAAAAAACAAAGGTAAAGAGTTAAATTGAGGTCGAATCAGCTGATTTTAAAGGTAAATTTTTCGATTTTGGAAGTGAATCTTCCAGTTTATTAGTTATTCACGCTTTTGACGACATTTTCTTTTTTATTTTGACATGTGGAAAGAAACTCTAGAATTTTAAATTTATTCAAGGAAAATGAGATATATACATTACAAACTTGAAGAAAAGAAGAAAAGGAATTAATAAAAATATTAGTATATACAAAATGTTGAATGAACAATCTATAAATATGAAATTAAAAATGTACACTGTAGTTAATATAAATTTGTTTTGGACATTCTCATTTCCTGCTTCTCACATAATTCCTACAAAATTTTGCATATTACTATGATGCAGTTACTCACCAGATTTTCTTGTATCAACGTCTTTCGTGTGTTGCTAGGTATACTCGGACACCGATCACGGTATATTTTTCTAGACGACTATTGTCTCAAATGGTATCAAGCTACTTGGTACTTGTACATTGCAGGGGAGTTCTATGGTTTAGTGTTTTTTCTTATTTTTTCTATTGTTTAACTTGTTTGGGTTTAAACTTTAAATTAAACCACCTAAAACTTGATGCATTTATTGAATAAAACATAATTATGACTTACTAAAATCTTTAAAAACTAATTAGAAACGTAAAAACATAGTTAAGATATAAATCAACACCACGTAATTCATTTTTCGCAATTACTAAAAATTAGTTTATCCTGATTACAAATTGACAATTAACGAGTGCCATAACAAATACGTTTGATCTATTCCATTACAGTAACGGCAACAATGACGATTTAAAGGAATATACCACTAGGCACAAATTCTATAACTCCCATAAGAAAACCGTTTAGAAAAACTAAAAGCAAATTACATAGAAAAGCTTTTTCAAATTATATAGAGATCATTTGAGAAAATATGAAATCGTAGAGGAAATTTTGAGTTGTTTATGAATCAAATGGTGTAATAAACATATTTCACAAACTATATATAAGACAATTTGCAATTAACTGAACTATGCTATCTTGTTTTGACCTGTGTTCTCGTGAAAAGTTTATGCTTTAATTTCACGAGATTAAAATGTAAGGAAAAGGAAAGTTTATCGGACTACAATGTAATTTTCTTATAATATTTCATTCGATCTAAGTCCATTAGTTAGGCTTGTGCAGGCGGAACTCATTTCTATTGAGTTCGTGCTGGATTTGACCAAAGACGACTCTCTTTCAATACTTGCTGATTCAAACTCGACACAAAAATGTTTGTGTCCCCACAAATATTCTCAAGGTTCCAATGATCGATTTTTTTGTGAATATCAACTAATGATAGTGTATCTCTACGAAAAGTAGACTGAATTATGCAAGTATAATTTATATATTTTGGATTTTAATAAATGTACATTGAGATTAGCCCCCTCACAAGAGAGGGCCCCCCTATTCTTTTAGGAGGCGTGGACTCCTCTCTTGTAAGAGGGCTGTAAAGCCGGGTTTTGTGAGGGAGCCCATTATTTTTTTTAGTGGGCTTGGGCCCTCTCTTGTAATTGTGCACCGGGGTGTATTTTACACTCCTATCAACACAAGCGTTAAATGCGTGTGGGGTCCCATTATTCTTGTCTACCTTTGTATACATTGAAATTCATATGTTCAGATGAATGAAGGGGACCTGTTTTTGATGTAATATGACTCCATGCCTTTTACAATTCACACCCCATTATACACGGCAATCAATTAGACTTGAATTAGTCATAAATTAGTGGACATGGAGTCAACATTTACATATTGCAAGCTGTGTATCTACTTTTAAACATTGATCTAACTATTCGCTCGAAAAAGATAGAAGATCAAGCGTCGAAATGTAAAATTAAGGTCGAACCATTAATAATATAAATTAAAATAATGAGATTGAACCAACTTATTCACCTCAACTCTAGTTAGTTATAGATATTGAAGTGCCTCCTTTTTTAATTGAAATGATCTGTCAGATCCGATTTTGACAACATTACTTACAAATTTTCTACACTATATTTCATCATTTTCTTATTACCTTAAAGAACCTTGACTTTCGTTGGAAACTTCTATTTCTAAATAATAATAATAATAATAATAAAGAAGAAGAAGAGAAAATTGCAGTATTAGTCTTAGAACTTAGTCTGCTTCAATAACACGCTAATCTTTAATCTTTAAAAGGAAACAAGTTGGTCCTCACTATATTCACATGTTCAGTTTTTAATGATAAAAATAGTATAAAATCTATGTCAAATGATTCTTGCATGTCAAACTTTATGAACTTAATCTTGCCTTTTAACATGGAATAGTGTCAAAATCATCGAAATGAGATATGCTATTACGAGAGTCGTGTAATAATTTTTCCAATGAACAACAATTCTCCACCTTATTATGTTTCAAGGAGTGGTCGATACCTCTGGATTTACATTCATGCTAGGAAAATAGAATCGAAGCATTTACATTCATGCTAGGAAAATAGAATCGAAGCGCTTCCTCTCAAAATTTCTGAAAATGTTTTGTGGGCGGAAGAGCATTGTTGGAGCTTTTCCAGAACTCAATTTTTTCCAATTTTGCAATATTTGCTATCAACTTACTATCTTTTACACACCGAAGACCCATATACTAATAAAAAATAGATTGAAGATCAACATTAATTTTGGTTTCTTAACGAAAGAAACCTTTATTCTAGACAATAATTGTTACTATTTCACGATGAACAAGTTTTTGCCAATAACCAGACCCGTAAAAATACCAATTGTCACTGTAATCATGAGTAAAAATAATCAGAGATCGACAAACTTCAATAATAATATCAAGGACTAATACGATGTGTGCATAGATTGATTCAAGAGTAGTGAAAAGACATTAATGTAACATATCCAAACTGAAATTAGAGTAATGTAACAAAACTTGACGTGTTCAAAATTTTTGTTGAGCTTAAACGTAAATTTTGTTTAATCATTAAGTTACTCAATTTTAGAAGTACAAGAGTTACTAATTTTTAGCAACGAGTTAAGAGTCACCTTTTCAAAAAATGACATCACACATCAGATGTGCTCTCAATTGCTGTTTCCAGCTCGAATCTAAGAGCCTGTTTGTCTCCCCTATGGAAGAAATTATAAAGTTTTGAATGGTATTTTTTAAAGCATGGTATTTTTTAAAGCATGTATGGTTAAATTTTAAAGAAATTTTATTGGTTTGTGTGCAAGATATTATATTGTGTGAATCTGTGATGAAGAATATTATTGTAACAAATAATTTAGCCCCCATTTGGTACAAATTAAAATTTAGATTTTGCTCCCTGGGGCATAACCCAGTGGTGCAAAGGACAGGAGTGGGATAGTCTCAGTCTTATTGGCAGTTGCAGTGTGAGGGTTCGATTCCTGAGATATAAAAGTGGACTCTTTGTGGGGATTAGTGTACGGGCAAGCTCCTGTTCCTTGACCTGTTGGACACATCCCGCGATTTACCTCCCTCGCGATACTTTAAGGACTGGGCAGTGGGAGCCCTTAAGGTTGGGGTTCAATCTTTTTTTAAAATCTAGATTTTAATATAAGTCGAAGTCAACAATTTATTTCAACCACATATTATGAGCCCACAACTTTTCAATCACATATTTCATCAACTTCTATCAAAATCTACTAAAAATCTGATTTTAATTCTCATCAAGCAGAGACTTAATTTGTTAAAAGATGACAAACAGCTAGTTATAAGCAACGCGGAAGAACTCTCTGAAGAGTCTTGGTCTTCTCACGTGGGATTCATCACCGACTTTCTGTGTATGTATACATGTATGCAGTATTTGGCTAAGCCAATAATTAGTAAATTTACAAGTTTTAAAATAAATATTTTTTTCAAGGTTACAAGTAAATTATTTATTTAAAAATAAGATAACAATTACTTCTAAATTAAGTAACGGTTTCTTTTACTAAGTTTAGTTATACCTTAAGATATATACATCCCTCTTCATTAGAAGTGTCCAAGTGGGTGTATAAAGTCCAGATTATAATTGTTCTATCACGTTCGAGATTGGGCTAAATAAAAATTCCTGTTATAAAAGTTTGACAAAACCAAAGTTGGACACGACGATCGTTAGTTGTTCTTTGGCGGGGTGTTTACAATAGTTAGTTGTCCTTTGACCTCTTTCTACAATTACTCGGTCAAACTTTGATTATTCCTCCTCTTTTCTCGTCTGTCCTCCATTTCTCTGACCAGAAGAAAAGTATAAAAACCCTGTCCTAAACCACTAAATATTCATTTTCTTTTATCTGATTTTTCACTTAAACTTGCATGGTTCTAAAAAAATGTCAATAGTTTCATTTTTTTAATATTTTACAATCTCCTAGGTTGCTAGCATAATCCCATGTTTGCATCCCTGTGTTAGTCTTGTCCATTCCTTTTTGCGGCTTGCAAATGGAGAATTCAGCAGATTTGGAGTTGAAGAGTCTGATGAATGAGCTAACACAAGGAAGAGAACTGGCTGAGCAGCTACGGATTAGTCTCAATACGTTGTCTTCTTCAGATGAAAGTTGCGAATTCTTGATTCAGAGAATCAAAAATTCGTATGAGAAAGCCTTATCCATGCTCAACAATGACGATGATCTTGATCGAGAATTCAAGGAATATCAGAACACAACTAGGAAGAGGTCAATATTTTATCATGCAATGCGCATTGTAATGCACAATTACGAATTGCTACATTTGAATCTTAATTTTTACCTCGCAATATTGCAGAAAGGCTATGACTACGTCCACGAAGAAAGTTCAGTTATGCCCAGGGATAGGACTGGAAGAACAGCTTGATGATGGCTATAGTTGGAAAAAATACGGGCAAAAAGACATCCTTCGGGCCAAATATCCGAGGTAGGAAAAGATCGAAAATTTCCTATTATTAGGTAACCATATGTAAGATTGCTATTAGTTTGTTTCACTCCTTCTAAATTAGTATTCATATTTAAAACGCTTTGCATGATATAGGATTTCATAGAGAGACCCTTTTTTGAGATAATTAAGAAGCGTGAGATTCTTTGTAGTAAGAAAATTCAAGCCCTATTTTTTTCATGAAAATGAGTTTTTTAATAGTGAATTTTTGTGGTTAAAAGGTAAAAAAAAATTTTGAATTACGTGCAAAATATTTTACTTTGAAATGTGCGATTAAAAATGAATTTGAAAAAAATGAGTTTTCAAATAATGGAGATCAAACATGGGCTTCTAAAGTAATGTATTTTTCTTAAATTTCTTGGTTCTCATATATATTTGATTTTGTCACTTGCAGAGGCTATTATCGATGCTCACATGGACGTGGTAAAGGTTGTACAGCTACGAAGAAAGTTCAAAGATCCAATAACGATCCATCAGTTGTCGAAATCACTTACATAGGAGAGCACACATGCAACCATGTTTCTAGCTCGAATCCAACTCCAACATTACCTGAAAATGACATCTTCCCGGATACTAACCAGTCATTTCAAGCCTTCAACAGCCTTCCATCATCAAGCATTATTCCCGAAACTTACATCTTCCATAATGCTATGATGGATAACGATGTTTTGGGTACATTCACGTCTCCTACAACTTCTGTATCAACCTATTTTGCGATTTCACCTACCCTTACGAGCGATTATGGAGGAAACAATGCACAAGCTTCACAATCTGAAGCCATCGCTCCGTTCACTTCATCAGCCACATCTTCGGGTATAAACTCTCCCGTCGTTGGTTTAGACTTTCCATTTGCTCCAACAGAAATTGACTCGAACTTTCCCTTTGGCAGTCTTGGATTCTTTCCTTAACTCCATGTACTAATCACTAAGTTAGATTAGCTAGACGAAGTGAGCAGAATGCCACGTTATCCAAGAACTAGAAAATATATACGTTGACTCAACCGTCAATATCACTAGCATATGAGAAGCTAGTTAGATTATACCTATGTAACAATTTTGTTATTGTTCTTACTCTTTTTTCGCCCTCTAAATTTGAGTTTATAGAGAATGTATTTTGTAACAAGTTCACGATTGATATAACACATATTTCATAGATAATATAATATACATAAAATGGTTTGTGAATCCTTTAATTTAACGAAATGTTTTAATACGATATTGGAGCATGCATATATTATGATTTCAAGTCGTAAATTCTATATTAAAAATGAACTCGAGTTACACACTGCCTCCAATCAAATTTTAGTTTAATCCTTAACATACTAACATGTGATTGATTTTACTTCGGAGGAGGACATTGCATAAAGTAGCACCTTGTTTACCACGACATATTTCAATTATCAAAGACAAATTGAAAGAAGTAATTGACCAAAGTCGCACAACAATTGGGGTAGTTAACAATTGTAGACTTGTAGTCCTATATGGGAACTTTCATTTAAACCTTAAAGGGAATGGGGTGGACATATGTACAAAATACACCCTCCACAATTTTACATATTTTATAAATTTATATTTTACGTATTATGTTTCTCTTAATTATTACAAAAACATCATTTGCTAGTAAAATTACAAATATATCATTATAAATAGTCTAAAAGACAAAAATGCCCTTAATTACATACTATTTTCTAATTGTTTATTTTTCATTAGATGTACTTAGTTTTCATCTTGTTAACTCTAAAATCAAATTACTAAAATTAAGCCCTTGTTTGGTAAGGACTAAAATTAGATTTTTTAATAGGTTTTAGTAAGAATTGATGAAATGTATGGTTGAAAAGTTGTGGATCCCATGAAATATGTGGTTAAAATCAGTTGTTGATTTTGACTTAAATTATAATTTTGATTTTAATCCCCTACCAAATATGGACTTTATTTTAGTAAGTTAATAAAATATTAAAGAATATCGAAAATATTTCATGACTCATCCAACACTGTAAAAATAAATAAAAAATCTTAGTTGTTATATTCTAATTTTTTTCCAAAGAATAAAAATTTTAAAAATCAATTAAAATTTTTTTTTTATAGTAGCTCTTATTTTGTAGCTAAAAATCAAATTCTTGTGTTGGGGTAAATTTGCATTTTTTAATTTTTTTTTAAGAAGGCATCGTGGAGGTTTATTTTACAGCACTACATAAATAAAATTAATAGGCATGTATTTTTTTTTTAAAATGAAAATGCAATTTTTTGTATAAATGATGCATTAGCATAGTTCTAACACTGTTTCAAAATTTTCTCTCTCTTTGTAGAATTAGAAAACGAATTATAAATACCTTATATAGCTCCAAAAAGAAAAATTAAATAAAAATCTTTTGCTTTATCACAAGAGTTTTCCACATCACAAAGTGTTAACTAATTAGGCAAACAATTATTTATCACATTCACAGGCTTATTATCACTTCTTGGAATATTTTGGTCAGGTCGAATGTTGTAGTATCGAAAATAATTGCGAAATGATTGAGAATATTTTTTGGGTTCAATATTTTGGGAATAATCACGAATGCAATGGATTTTGGGAATTAAATTGACCGCAGTTGAGTAAATTTTGGGAGAGGTAGCTCATAATAATTTAGTGTACATATGAATTTTATTCCTTTTGCTTATTTAGCTCCTGTTTGACGTAGATAAAAATAAGAGTTTTAGGAAATTTCGACGGAGTGTACGATTGGGAAGTTGTATAAGTCACATAAAAATGTGTTGTTAAAGTAAAATATTGAATTTGAATTAGATCGAAATCCAAATTTATAAATGAACCAAACAAGGGCTTATTGGATAGAAATTTTAAATGGGCTTTTCATGAAAAAAATTTAGAGTTCATATTGAGTCCTATTTTGTGGGAGAGTGGATTTTGTAATAGTAGTTTTTTTTTTTTTTTAAGAATGTGTCGTAAAAAAATAAGGAAAAGTTTAGGGTTTTACGCAGCATAAAATTAGTTTGTTGAGAGAATATTTTGTTCAAAATATAATTTTAAAAAAAAAAAGAGTTTTTAAAAAAAGTATGCTCAAACAATGGTTTATATGTTTGGACCATTAGTAGGGCTTTGTCAACTATTGTTGTGGATTAATGAAGGATTATACAAAACATTCATGTGTTACTACATTGAACATTACTGCTTTTGTTGCAACCCTTTGCATGAAGTTTGATTGAAGTTTCATGTAAATTTATCCAACCAGACGATTCATGTAATTTTGTGTTCATGTTTCAATAATAACCTCTTTGTTACAACTATTGCATGAACTTACTATGATTTAAATTTTTTTTAATCATTATGTTAAGTTCCCATTTACATTGTTGTTATTGGGCTGAAATTTTTTTGTTTATTCACACATGCGATGTAATCGATGGATGTCAATATGTGTTAGTCATAATTGATCATTACAGTATGTGGTATTCTTCACGTAATGATAAATGTAAATATTTTAAATAATTATTAATTTACGCAATAATGATTGAAATTTTTGGAGTAGTATTTATCATTTAAAATACGAGTTACAACAAATACTAACGTGTTCAATTGTTTGTTAAGCTTGTGCAAATATGGAAGGTAGAAGAATAATTTTATTTAGCTATAAGAAGATGATCCTCCATATTGCCAGGGACACAATACAAAATTCTTTCATTCTTACTTGAGCCCTTTAAGTGTCAAAGTAATCAAAACAAAACCAGCTTCACATACTAAATTGAACTATAAAGTTCAATGTTGAAACCATTCAAAAATTCACAAATTAAACAGTATCAAAGCATCCAATTTAGCATTAATCCATTAGCAAAGCATCACATTTTGCAAAAGATAAACAAAAAATCAACTTAAAATTTGAAGTTAAGAGTACGACAAGTTTTTCTCCCATGAGAGGAAAAATCACCACAAAAAAACATTTAAGATTCACATTATGGCAGTACTCGAAAATTTATCATCAGACTTTATGTAATGCACATTATGTAGGAAAATTAAAAGGTCAGTATGCAAAAACCAGTATGAATTATGCTACAATCCCAAAATTGGGATTTAAAACAAACGATAGTATCAACTACTAAAACTAATAGAGTAGAGTAATGCTATTTGTAGTCGCTCACTATATTAGTCGCTCTGTGTGGCATACATATAACGATTAGTGATTTTATGCATTAATTTGATAGTTTTTTTATTGCTTTATGTATCAAATCACTAACCGCCACATGTATGTCTTCAAACTAATATTGTGTTATAATTGCAGTGATCAACATGGAAATAGTATTGCACTTAATTTGCCAATGGTGCAAATTCATCACATCAACCACATTCAGATTTGCCTTTCGGCCGCTCGTCAGAGCTATTTTGTTTGTAAATGGTGCCATATATTTTTTAATGATCTTACTTTCCTTTTTAGGATTATTTTATTTTTATTTTTAATAATTTAATTAAGAATAACAAAATGACAAATCTACCCTTTTTGATTTTTGAATTTGATGGTCAAAGGAATTAACTAACGGAGAATTGGATGTAATCTATCAATTTGGATGAATGATGTTAATTTATAATAGATAGGGACAAATATGTTAAAAAAAGGTTGGGAATGAAAGTGCAAAATAATAGAAATGTTGAGGGCGCTTAGTGCAATTTAGCCATATATAAATTAATCAAGACTACACTTGATGAAGCGTGTCTAAAGAAAGATGTCAATAAATACATATTAGTTTAATCTTTAGATGAGTAAGTAGACAAAACACACAACTTCATATCTCACAACCACCCATGTTGACCCCAAAAAGTGTTGCCAACAGATGCCGGATCCACCCGCGCACACGTGAGCGAAAGTCCTACACGCTAAGACGCGTGGACGGTCTAGAACGAAAGAATTAGGGGCGTGGGAGTAGCTCAACGACGCGGGACGAGAACGATCGGAATCCGACGGAATGTTCGTAATCCGATTATACAATAATTACCAATCGGTGCTCATGAACGTGAATGTAAATATGTATGAACTCGTATTGTGTTGTAAGATAATATGAAAGAGAGTAAAGTGTGGCTTCTTGTATTGATTCTTGCATTAGTTCTTCAATGTTATACAAGGAAAGTATTTATAGTGTTACATGTGAAATGACAGCCCTTAGATGAGGTGGCACATGGCCTCATCTCTTTAATTCAAACATCCAATCCTAGGCATCATCTTTGACTTGCTAGTTTGCTATACATTTATTGCTTATGCAGAACCCCCATGCTAATGACAAGACTTGACATGTATACTTATGAAAATGTTCCATCAATCATTCTAACAAGATTTTTACGTAGAAGATCTCTTGGAAGAAGTGATTATGGAAGATGTTCCTTTATGGTTTGGGGGCTTCTGCTTCAGCTTCGGATTCGGGGCTTCTGCCACTCATCTAGTACTTCTGCTTTAGGGCATCGGCTATCTTAATAGGCCTCAACATATGGACCTTGGCATGAAGGGCCCCGAATATACAGATCACATCGGCTAGAGCGCCACGTGGTTTAGATTGAGTGGGCCATAGGCCCACGTAGGTTGGTCAAGTATGACAACACGTAACAATAGTCCCCCAAGTCCAAGTATAATCATTTATGTAATGCGTGGACTTCAATGAAGTAAAGCCAGTGGGTTGGGTAAAAATTGAAAGAATTTTTGAACCATAAATAATAGTCCCCCAAGTCCAAGTATAATCATTTATGTAATGCGTGGACTTCAATGAAGTAAAGCCAGTGGGTTGGGTAAAAATTGAAAGAATTTTTGAACCATAAATAATAGTCCCCCAAGTCCAAGTATAGATATTTATATCGTGGTTGGAGTTTGAAATGTGTTGTTGCGGGTGAAAGATGAAGGAGCAGAGGTGGTGGCACGAACTGAATGTGCGAGGCTCGCGAGACTTGGAAGATGGAGATGAGCCGAGGTGGTTGGGAAATCGAACCTGCAAGGCTTGATGGCTAAATGTTGAAGATGAAGCCGAGGTAGTTGGGAAATCGAACATGCGAGGCTTGATGGCTGAACGTTGAAGATGAAGCCGAGGTAGTTGGGAAACCGAACCTGAGAGGCTTGATGGCTGAACGTTGAAGATGAAGCCGAAGTGGTTGGAAAACCGAACCTGAGAGGTTTGATGGCTGAACGTTGAAGATGAAGCCGAGATGGTTGGAAAACCGAACCTACGAGGCTTGATGGCTGAACGTTGAAGATGAAGCCGAGTTTCATTGATAATTATTGTTCCTTGGCAGTTGTGCCAATGATTTGATGTTTTGCGCATGTTTTCGAGGAAAGGTGGTTGAACCGTTGCAACTTTCAAGGCGCCTGCTGCCGTCGAATTAAAATCGTAATTTTAGAACAGCTGGGGCCTCTAGAAGCAGACACGTTGGCTGAGGTGCGTGGGAGACACGCTTAAATCTGAGGCGTACGTTTGAAAAACCGTTTGAATTCTACGCCTCGGATTTGATTTAAAATGAAGGATTCAGATTGAATGAGCTTTGATCTGACAGTGGGGGTTCGTCCTGACCCTTTATAAAAGGCGAGAGAACTTCCTTTTTCCGGATTTTCTAGCACTTGCAATCTGATTTCTTCTCTTAGAACTTAAACATTCCGGCGTTGAGACAAGTTCGTTCACTGCTTTTTCGACACTGTTTGTGTAGTTTTTCAGTAGGTATTTTTCACAGAAAATCCTCATTTTACTGCGTTCTTAGTTATTTTCTGAGATGGAGTCGACTTCGGGTAGGGAGTTGGTCACTGTCGCGTCGTTTAGTCGGGGGTCTAGTTACAGGGAGACTCCGAGGTTGAGCAGATTGCTATAACCGAGGAGGAAGTAGATTACAATGTAGAGTGGGGGGCGTCTAGAGTCCCTTCGAATATGATGTTGAAGAGGTTGGGGGAGATAAGGGAGAGGTACTGTGTACCTCATTATGTGGAGATGTTAGTGCCCGAGGCCCAAGAGCGAGCCTATTATCCGAGGCCTGGGTGCGTGGCAGTGAGCGAATACTTGTTCAAGGCAGGTATGCGTCTTCCTCTACACCCCTTCTTCAGGGCTGTGCTAAGGAATTTCATGTTGTCGCCGACCCAGGTTCTGCCAAATGGGAGGAACCAGTTGATCGGCTCGTACTTCCTATGGAAGGAAGTGTCGCTTGGGGAGGACATGCCTCTCCACGTCTTCATGACCCTATTCCAGCCTAGGGTAATGGGTAAGGAGTCGAAGGGGTGGTATTACTTGACTCTCTGGGGGGCCCATGCACCTTTTGTGGTGGGGCTGCCTTCTTCCATAAAGGGGTGGAAGGAGTCGTGGTTCTGGGTGAGGGGCAGGTGGCAGGCGGTGGAGGGAGACAAAGCCCTATCTTGCACAGTACCAACCCAGTACTACGAAGCTCGTGAGTCTCCCAGCCTAAGTAGTTTGCATTCCGTTTTCAACTTTAATTTTTCTCTAACTGTTGAGGCCTCATTTGCAAATAGCAGTACGAGATTCGAGCTGAGAAGGGAGGAGTTTGAAGTGATAGAGGACATTTACAAGAGACCTCTGAAGTTTCGCCACTTCGATCACCACATCGACAGAAGTCGTTATTTCCTCGACTTCAAATTGATGGCCTCCAAGGGTATGAAGCTCCTAAACTTGTATATTTTTGTGTTTTTGTTTTGGTATTGACGCGCTGTGTTCTGCAGATAAGTTTAAGAGGAAGGAGTACCCAGCTCGTGACATGGCGTCTATACTGAGGGCAACTTCTACTGTGAAGGCGAGGCCCCTGAAGCCGGGGTCAAGTGGCGCCAAGGAGGTCCGAGGTAGAGTTGAACGCCTCTCCATGGACAGCACCTCAAGGCCTTCCGAAAAGGGGACCTCCCAGAGGCTAGAAAAGCCCAAGGAACCTTGGGAGAAGGAGAAAGTCCCTGAAGAGGCAAAGAAGAGGAAGCTGGTGCATGTCTCCAGGTCGTCTGGAAAGTTTGGGACTTCTATGTCCCATTAAGGCAAAGAAACCGGGCCACCAAAGCTACTGGAAGCGCCTCGAAAGCGGTTAAGATTGAAATGGTAAGGTGTGTCGAGGCTGAAGAGGCGAGGGAGGAGGTTGCAAGGAGAGAAGCTGAGGTGGCCAAGGAGGAGGCTGCCAGACAAAGGCCTGCTCGAGTGCAAAGGAAGTCTACGAGCTTCCTTGCTGGAAAGGAGGAGCCTTTGGCCCCAGCTTTGGTGGAGGCCCTGCCACCTGAGATCCGAGGCGCTACTGAGAGTTTTTATAAATTCTGGACGGATCGGTGGCAGCTGCACGCCTCCTCCTGTGATGCCACGGACCTGACAAGGGCTCTTGTGAGCCAAAGTGTTAGGACTTTTGGCCTTACACTGGAATGCAGGGAGGCCCTCACTGACTTCCAGACGAGGACCACCACCTCAGAGAGGAAGACCGCCTCCCTTGCAGAGGAGCTGAAGGCAGCTAGGGCCGAGGCTGAGGTATGTAGGGCCGAAAAGCTTGAAGAATCGGCCAAGTTGGAGTCTGCCTTAGCCCAGATAGAGGCATTGAAGAGGGAGGTACATGAGTCCTGGTGTAAGGTTGCCTCCTTGACTAAGAAGGTGGAGGTTTCCAAAGATCACCAGAAGATGACAGCCGAAGCCTTGGAGAAGGCTAACAGGGAGCTGGCAGGGGCCCAAGATTCATACAAGTATATCGAGGGCCAAATTAAGTGGTACGTCGATGACGTAACCCATGCTAGGGAGGAAGCCCAGAATGCAAGGAAGGATGTAGTGAAAGACTACATCGCCAACTTCCACAATACCGAGGAGTACCAGAGCTTCAACACTTATTGGAGGAACTTTGCTTATGCTGAAGTGATGGAGCAGGCTGAGGAGTTGTATCCCAATCAGGATCTGTCGCAACTCAGGTCGAAGTTTATGGACAAAGTGCCTCAAACCCCAGCTGATGAAGTGGTGGGAGATGAGGTAGCAGAGGCAGAAGAAGCAATGTCTGATGCTCAAGTTGCGGAAGTCCCAGCTACTGAAGCACCTCCATCATCTCAGGCTTAGGATAGTTTTCTTTTCAGTTATTCACGATGTACTGGCTTCAGGCCCCGCTTTTGTAATCTTAGTTGAAAATCAATATAATCTCCTTTTTATTCAAGTGTGTTGGCCTCGTTAAATAATTGAACATAATGTTGATTGAAGAACTAAATAACTTTAACTGGGTATCCTAACTCCAATCACTTAAACGAATAAATTGTATGCAAGCCTCACGAGTTATGACCAATATGGGACTCAAGCAAATGAATTGTACTTGAGCTTAATAATTGTAACCTGAAGGGATCCTGAGAGTGGACCGTGTTGCAACTGAACTGGGAGTTTTACTCTGATACAAGTGCATCCGCCTCGGAGTTCAAGTGAGGTGGCCCAGAGATGGGACCCTGGCCTCTACTCCAAGGTGACGACACTTTCCAATATGGTGGATGGTATAGCCATGTTGAGACTTCTCCCCTTGGCGTTCAGCCTCGCCAAAGGGAGGCATGTGCATGCGCCTCGGAGTTCAAACGAGGTGGCCCAGAGATGGGACGCTGACCTCTCCTTCGAGGTGACGACGCTTCCCAACATGGTGGATGGTGCAGTCATATTGAGGCTTCTTCCCTTGGCGTTCAGCCTCGCCAAATGGAGGCATGTGCATGCGCCTCGGAGTTCAAATGAGGTGGCCCAGAGATGGGACCCCGACCTCTCCTCCGAGGTGACGACGCTTCCCAACATGGTGGATGGTGCAGCCATGTTGAGGCTTCTCCCCTTGGCGTTCAGTCTCGCCAAAGGGAGGCAGGTGAATGCGCCTCGGAGTTCAAAAGAGGTGGTCTAGAGATGGGAGCCCGGCCTCTCCTCCGAGGTAACGACGCTTCCCAACATGGTGGATGGTGTAGCCATGTTGAGGCTTCTTCCCTTGACGTTCAACCTCATCAAAGGGAAGCATGTTCATGCGCCTCGGAGTTCAAGCGAGTTGGCCCAAAGATGGGACGCTTGCCTCTCCTCGGAGGTGAGGAAGTAATGCGACACGTTAATTTAATCATAGAATTTTATTGAACCATAGAAATGTTACAAGAGCTGGGAAAGATCGTCCAGCGAGGTAGTACATTCATTGGTAATAGATTATGAGGTGCTCAATGTTCCATGGACGGGGTTGGGCCTTGCCGTCCATGTCTTCAATCCAGTAAGTCCCAGGTCGAATTTCTTCTCTGATTTTATATGGCCCTTCCCAGTTCGGACCTAGGGAACCAGAACTAGGTTCTTTTGAGGAGAGAAAGACTCTCCTAAGGACCAAGTTGTCGACTCTAAATGACCTCTTCTTTACCTTTAAGTTGAAGTACTTCATCATCTTTCTTTGGTATATGGCGGCTTCAACCGGGAGTCATCTCTTCTCTCTTTGACGAAGTCGAGGTTGCACCTCCGAAGCTCATCGTTTGTTACTTCACTAAAATGCAGATGTCTTGGACACAGAAGTCCGACCTCAACGGGGCTCATCGCTTCAGTACCATATGCCATGAGGAAAGGTGTTTCCTCGATTGACGTCCTCATGGTGGCTCGGATTGCCCAAAGAACTTGTGGTAGCTCGTCCACCCAGGCCCCTTTTGACACATCAAGCTTTCTTTTCAGAACGTGTTTGATTGTTTTGTTGACAGCCTCAACTTGGCCATTTGCTTGTGGGTGATAAGGCGTGGAGAAATGCTTCTTAATGCCGAGTTCTTCGCATAGTGCTCTGACCTTCTTGTTATCAAATTGTCTACTATTGTCTGAGACGATTGAATAGGGAATCCCGAACCGACATATAATATTCTTCCACAAGAACTTGGAAGTGTTGGTTTCTGTGATTTTTGTCGGTGGTTCAGCCTCAACCCATTTCGTAAAGTAATCAATGGCCACAATTGCAAAGCTTGCACCTCCTCTACTTTTCGGTAAAGGACATATTAGGTTCATACCCCATTTCGAGAAAGGCTAAGGGCTGGAGACCGCAGTCAAATTCGGCGAAAGTTGCCTTTGTACCGAAGAGAATCGTTGACATTTGTCACACTTTCGTACAAACTCGAGGGCGTCCCTTTTCAGGGTAGGCAAGTAGTACCCTTGCCTCAATATCTTTTGTGCCAAAGATAGACCTCTGGAGTGATTGCCGCACACGCCCTCATGGACTTCTCTTAATATGTAAGTAGCCTCTTCTCCCTTAACACATCATAAGAGTGGGGAGGAGAAGCTCCTCTTATAGAGAACATCATTAACGAAGTGGAAATGGGCTGACCTCCTCCTTAACTTGTAGGCCTCATGCTTGTCAGTGGAAAGTACCTGGTCTTTGAGGTATGCTACGATTGGTTGCATCCAGGTAGGAGTTCCAGTGACCCACATTACATTAGGGGCCTCAGTGGATGGCAGGAGGAGGTGCTCTATAGGTACTACTGTGAGTAGTTCTGAATCCTTACTACTAGTGAGCTTGGAGAGTGAATCCGCATGAGAATTTTCCATGCGAGGGATCTGGGTTAGTTCAAACTTTTCAAAGGATGGGATGAGGTTCATCACCATTTTCAAGTAAGAGGCCATCGTTTTGTCCTTGGCTGAGAAGTTACCATTTACTTGGCTAACAACCAGCTGGGAATCACTGCTGATGAGGAGCCTCTTTACTTGCATTTCCTTGGCCAGCCTAAGGCCTGCCAAGTAGTGCCTCGTATTCAGCTACATTGTTGGTGGCCTTGAACTCAAACCTCACCACTGAGTTTAGCTTGTGACCTTCAGGGCTAATGAGGACAACTCCAGCACCCGAGCCGGCGTCCCCGGCCGACCCATCAACGAATAAGTTCCATATAGGGGGCTCGGAGGGATTCATGATTTCATCTACCTCGGGTAAGTTAGCGAATTCTGCCACAAAGTCAGCCAAGGCCTGACCCTTGATGGTTGCCCTAGCCTTGAACACGAGATCAAATTCACTTAGCTCCACTGCCCACTTCAATAATCTTCTTGAGGCATCAGGCTTTTGGAGCACTTGCCTTAGGGAAAAGTTCGTCAGCACGTGGATGGTGTGAGCTTGGAAGTAGGGTCTCAATTTCCTGGAGGCCATGATCAAGGCCAAAGCGAGCTTCTCCATATCGGGGTAACGGGTTTCCGGCAATAGGAGTGCTTTACTTGTATAGTGAACTGGAAGTTGGGTGGTCCCCTCTTCTCGAGTCAGAACCAAACTGATGGCATCATTGGAGACGACCAGTTATAGCTATAGGATCTCACTGGGCTTCGGTTTGGAGAGAAGGGGGGCCAGCCCCAAGTGCCTTTTCAGGCCTTGGAAGGCCTCTTCACATTCCTCGTTCCATTGGAACTTCTTCCCAACTTTTAGCACTTTAAAAAATGAGAGGCATTTGTCTGTAACTTTGGAGATGAAGCGGCTAAGTGCGGCCACTCGCCTGGTCAAACTTTGCACCTCCTTTGGCTTTTAGGGGGACCTCATCTTGTGTAGGGTCTCAATCTTCTCAGGGTTGGCTTCAATTCCACGTTGATTGACCATATATCCTAAGAATTTGCCGGAGGCCACTCCAAAGGCGCACTTGAGGGGGTTGAGTCTCATCCTATATCTTCTCAAGATTTGGAAGGTGCTGTTGAGGTGCGTTATGTGATCCTCAGCCTCCAAACTTTTCACCAACATGTCGTCCATGTATACCTCCATTGTCTTGTCGATGAGGTCCATAAACATTTTGTTGACAAGCCTTTGGTAAGTCGCTCTGATGTTTTTCAACCCGAAGGGCATCATCCCATAACAATAAAGGTCTCGGTCTGTAATGAAAGAGGTGTGCTCTTCATCGGTCAGGTGCATGGGTATTTGGTTGTAGCCGAAGTATGCGCCCATAAAGCTCAACAACTAGTGTCCAGCCGTGGAGTCTACTAGTTGATCAATCCTTGGGAGAGGAAAGCATCTTTTGGGCAAGCTCTATTGAGGTTGGTGAAGTTGATACACACCCTCCACCTACCGTTGTGTTTCTTCACTAATACCGGGTTGGAGACCCACCTCGGATAGGTAGCCTCCCTGATGAAGCCGTTTTGGATGAGCTTCTGAACGTTTCTTTCAGAGCCTCGTATCTTTCAGGATTGAGGGCTCTCTTTTTTTGTCTATGTGGGACAACCTTAGGATTGACCTTCAGGTGGTGGCAACTGACCTTGGGGTCTATACCTACCATGTCCTCAAGTTTCCAAGCAAAGACATCAAAGTTCTTACTTAGGAAATCTTTAATCTTTTCCTTCAAAATGTTGGATAAGCCCTTGCCTACTTTCCGCATCTTGGATGGGTCTCGGGGGTCTATCGAGAAGCTCTCAAGTTCCTCAACTGGGGATGTTTGAGGTTCGTGTTTAAAAAACCTATCGTTCGACCCAACTAACACCTAGAGGGGGGTGAATAGGTGTTCTTGCGGAATTAAAAACTTTTTGAATAATTCATGCAACAAGTCACACAAATTATAATTTGTTCAGATTAATTCACGTGCTTTATCTACCTATGTTGGATTACCATTGACAAGTAAATAAATTAAAGCGGTAAAAACACAATAAACATGTTGACGGAGAAACCCAACTGGGTAAAAACTCCGGGCACAAGCCAGTAGAGATTCACTATTGTAGAAACCAACTTACAGCACGCCAGACATCATTGACACTCTCAATTTTCTGACCTCCTTGCTGTATGAACTCAAGACCCTCCTGGATTTTGCAGATCCGTGCTAAATCCCAGCCTATAATTTCTACCTCCCGTGAATCGCCACGCACTCCAGCTCTTCAAGCAAATCCTTCCCAGATCTTCAAACTGATGATCTTCTGGAAGTTTAATTGGAGTTGTGAGACAGGTGTTTTGGTGTTTATGGATTTGATATTTTTACTCAACAAGCCAAAGATTGGTATGAGAACAATGAAGGATTTCTTTGGCTTTTGATCCTTGGAGAGAATGATTTGGATTTTTGGTTGCCAAGGAATTGAAAGAATATTCAAAGTATTTTCAATGTGAATTTTCGGGTTAATGAACACGAATTGGACGTTTGGTA